TGCTCTCAAACATTGGGGTGGATCAAACAACATGGATGCATTTACGGCACGTGGATATTCACAGTTGCCTCCGTGTATTTCGTAAGCAGGAACAAACATAGGGGTCGGTGACATGGCCTAGCATTCATCGCGAGACATTTTGGCTTTTGCAAGATCTGTGAAGGCATGGAGTTGTCGCTTGGGCTACTGTGGCTGTATCGTTTCAGCCGGGGATGGCCCTGTTTCACTGATTTGGCTTTAGGTCAGAAGCCGGGGCTTCCTGGTATGGCCTTGCAGATGCACCAGAGAAAATTGGGCCTCATAGCGCCCATTAAGAGCCCAGCAGGTAGTCCTGGAAAACCTGATGCCAATTGTTTGCTCACTGCTGCACATCGTGCTTCTTGCTGACCGGAAGAAACATTGCAGCTTCTTGTTAACTACGGCAGGAAAGATCAATCACATCACACTTGTAACCACCCGCCAAATCTCGCATGTAATCACCCTTGCGCATATAAATCGCCCTTGCTGGATGTGGAACAGGAGTGGGAATTCCTACATACGGATTTGTTCAACTGATTGGCCTGTAGTTCCCACCTTAGAGCTTATTTTGTTCAGCATCTCTGGCACGTGCCGAGGTGATTCACCAGCCGCGGATTGAAGTGGCGAACCTTTTTGACCAGCTCCTGCTGATGACTTCCAACCCTGGGAGGATAGTCTACAACGGCAGGATGAAGGACCCGGCACGCGCCTGCAAGAAGTTGCATCTCGTGTTCCCGAAAAAAAAGAAAAGGAAAAAACAAAAGCAAGGTTCAAGCTCTCCATGTTAGCACCAAAGTGGCTTGTTTGTTTGTTGCGGTGGAAAGAGGTATGAAGAGACACCCTGTTGTCCGAGATTGGATCCGCTTTCGACGACACTTAGTCACTTAGATATTTATTTCTAAAATGTATTGTTTGCTATCTTATTCTAAATCATTTAGTGAATGGTTTTTAGTTTTATTCCGTGGTGTATTCATTGCATCTTTTATCATTTGATTTCTTTTATTGTTCTTGTTTCTTCAGTTGGAGGAGTGGTAATCATGTTGCAAGAGAATGATATGCTGTGGTCTTCACTTTCTAAAGTAATGCCCCCTTCATCATCTTTACTAACATTCAGTGTTTTATCATTTTTGTAATTTTGAATGAACAAGGAGAACACCTGCATTTAATCCCTTTAGGGTTGATATCTATGTCTATTTCATTTTGCGCTCGTAGTTTAGTAAACAGTTGGCACAGTTGAAAGCAATACAACATATTTACTGCTTAGGCATTCCTTTGGAAAAAAAAACATGGCTAGATACAACAAAGTTGGCACAGCTTCAATACCCATGCCACAACTCTCTCGAAGTCTTTCCGTTGTTTGTTTATTGTTTGCCAGAAGGAGGCATGGAAGTTGGATACATGCTAATTCATGCAAACTGGTTGCAGGCCATCCGCGAGATTGCTGTGAGGATGTTGTCAACTACGTGGAGCAGGTTGGTTTCGAGGTGCCTAGGTGCCTTGCCAAACAGAGCGCAGCGGTTTTCAGTGACAGGCCCCTCTGCACCTTCCAACTCAATGCCAGCAACTCAACAAGAGTTCGTTGATACGTGTTTCTTAATGGCCATTGGTCAACAAAGGCGTGCATCACTTGTAGGGGGTTTCAGATTTGAGCTGGTGGCTGACTGCTCGCTTTGAGATTGGGAGTTTTTCGCAGTGCGTACTCTTTGCACCCAGTGACCCCGTCTTGGCAGTGCCTTGCTCAGTGCATTCACCTGCAAGCTGCAAAAAGGACATTTGGGCGGAAAGAACCTTGTGGCCAAATGTGCAGAATGAAATAGGCGGACAATTGACATTCTTGAGAAAAGTTTGCTTGATGGGATTGCTTTGTGCTCGCAGGCAAGAGTACGAGCATGTCCGCTTCGAGATTCAGGGAAGTATTTTCGTTTGTTGATGGTTGCTGCTTCTGGCAAGGAATGGGCATTCATCATCACGAGCGTTTGGGCAAGGACCGCAGATCATGACAGTTCTTTTTGTGTTTGTAGAGGGTAGTTTTTGTCCAGCCTTCTTATGACTTACCAACGGGGCCTACAACAAGACGCCTGGGATGTCTAGTAAAACTCCAAAGAGTTGAGGCAACTTATTTTTAAATGAAAGATAACGCACTTGCAAGGAAGCTGAGACACAGAACCTACCAGCTAGACCTGCCCAATTGTTGCGCGGTGTACATGCAATAACTACGGCCTTCCCTTCCTTGAATTGACCATGGACGTTTAGGTTCGATCATAAAGAATCAACTGGAGTGCATTGCCAGTTGGACGCCACCAACCAACCAGCCCACCAAGCAACCAACCAACCAGCCAACGAACTCTAAAGGGGACACTGGAGGCATGCCAACCCAGTGGACTTCTTTATGGATCTCATCACTCCGGACACGAGCACGTGCCAAGTGGAGCCCTTTGATCAGTACTACCGCACCTCGGCCAGAGGGCCTACGGGCGGAAATGCGGGTGACGTGGGAGTCGGAGTGGGCGGTTTGTTGAGTGTCACTTGTTGGGGAGATTCGAAAGGGTACTCCAAAGGCAGTCGATCCGTTTGGGGGGGGGTCCGCATGTTAAGACGAACTCTCAAATATGATGAGAGGATATGCTTGGGGATCAACCGTATCCCTGACAGTGCAGGTTCAATCGCTTCTTAGTTATTTGCTTATAGGCATTGCCTACTTACCCTATTCTGTCACTCGGCTGGCAGCTTCTGTTTGCCTATCATGTGGGCATACGTTCATCCCTCATATCCATTGGGGGCGGACCATTTCAAAAAGAAACGGCTGCTGACTTTTGCGGCTTTCGGCGAAACGTGCGAGGTGAGCATGTGGCGGCAGACGTGGCCAAGAGAGTTGATGAGGGCTTCTTGGCATTGCGCTTTTGGATCTGCCCACGTCTCCGGGCCTTAGGGGTTGAACTTTGGGGACGTTGCTTGGGGGGTTCAATCTTTCCAGTCTGAGATGGCTCTAGCACCCTGAGCCTTTGAAGCTTCACATGGGACGCTCGCATGGCTCGTTCGCTGCGCGCTTTGGTCTGCGGAAGCGTTGTGGGGACGTTTAGAAGGGGTTCAGCAGCCAAGGTTTGAAGGCAGAGATGCGTAGCGGGCTGGAGATTCTGGAAGAGCAACGCGAGCTGCTGCTGCAGTGCCCTAGCAGACATTCGTTGTGTTCTTTCGTTTGTCACACATGTTTGCACATGGCACATTGTAAGGTGCTGGAGAAGTGATAGTGCAGGCAAAGCGCCTGTGGCCGTGGTCAACTGTAACAGTGGCCCTCATGTGAAGGTAAACACCGGAGCTTAGCAGCTTAGTCAAGTTAAGTGGAATTCAGACCTCTCACCAACATACGTTACATATAGAATATTGTAGACATATATACATGCATAATATAGCAAATATTCCAATTTCAGCTCGTGGATTTTTAGCTGAGGTGGGGATACGTACCAGCGATGCGCAACAGCCACTGGCCAGAGAAGAGCCGAGGGCGTAGTTTTGGTTTGTCGAGGCTTTTGAAAGTGAGCGGGTCGTTTCACCGTGTTTCAATGACTGATCCGGGGATTGGAGAATAGGATGGTCCCCTGCCCTGGTTTTGGTCAAAGTCTGGGAGTGGTTGCCCCATGTCCTCCTCAGTTGAAACCATTGGTCGATCGAAGTACTTGTGTCAGCTCATGTCAGTTCCTTGCAAACGCACTGAGTACTCATGTTCTAATGCACCGAGCTGAACTGCCTCTTCGTCCCTCGAGAAGTGGCAGAAAGACTTGTCAGTGGCCATGAGGGCCCCTTTTCCTTTGGGTGGCTCATTTTGAAAATCAGTGCTGCCTTCTTAGTTTCTGCCATTGAGAGAATGCCGCACGACTTGAGCGAAGAGACACGTATGCGTGTATACTAAATGGTTCACTTGTTCGAAGAACGTGTATGAGGGCAGATTGGCATTTTTGGCCGGTTGGTATGCGTATGCATGGAGGGCTTGGTTCAGCACATGTACCTCCACGATGGTTCACAAAGAGTCAGTCAGTCACAAGGCATTCGGCATTCGCTCCACTCTTGCAGCAAAGGGAACAATATTATTAGCATATCCATTTTCTCAACGGCGTGCAAATGGCGTGTTGTTTGGTGCTTGCGCTTGTAAGCTGTTCAGAAGCAGAGTCACGCAAACAGCGCAGGGTCATGAGACCAAGACCTAACTCTGGTACTGGCTCCGAGCAGAGTCCCTTCAAAAGTGACTGGGATATGCAGTAAGGGTACCATTTATTCGATGCCCTGGAAGGTTATAACCTTTGCCTTGTGGGGCAAGAGCCATGGAACACTGCTGCAGCCGCGCCGGGAACTTTCCGCGAAAGTTCAGCCTCCACACACGAGCATCAGGGACGGTTCCCCAAGTCTTGTGGCCACCCCAAATGGGATCATGACATGGCGTTTGAATTTCAACAGGGTATATTCCAATGTGGGAGAAAGCGAATCCGCGCGTTCCACAGCATCAGGATTGGAAAGCCTGCTTCGGAACTTTGGAGATTCACCCCCTCCCCCCAAAAAGCGACAGGATCATCCATGCCGGAGGCAAAACTTGTCTTTGACCTTAAAATCGAGGGTTGCTCAGCTGAACATAGACCTCCTTCGGCTTGAGGAATCTTCTATGGCACCAAACGTTTTGTTCCGCGGTTCAGGCAACCCCGTATTGGCGGTTGGGATTGGTGGTTTGGGGGCTTGAACCTGATTCTCGTAGAAGGTAAAAGGGAAAGCCCCCGTGACCTCCAAGCCACCAATCCAAATCGCCAACTAAGTGGAGGCTGAATGATAAACTTGCAAGGGAGTAACTTCACCCATGAAGGTTGTGGTCTTGCAGGCCCCTTTATTTCAGATTGGTGAGAGCCCTCCCCGTCTGGATGCATTCACTCCTAGGCGTACGTCCTTTTCGGGTTGCATGTTGATGTCCAATCTGATTTAGAAGTAGGGCTCCTCCGGGCCATGCGCAGTTTTCACATGTGGTCACGTTGAAGGCACAGCCATAGAATGTTGGAAAGAGTGCAACTCAGGGGACACCATCAAGCCATAAATCTGAATCAGTGCGTAGGGGCACATCAGGCGTCTACGGTGTCCGCTTCCGCAAGCAGCTGGGCATTGTTTTCATGCGCCAGCTGAAGCTGCGAATCCGGGACCGCCGCGGGATCCTCGCGGACCTGCGCCTTGATCTCAATCGTAAGCGGGGTCCGGCGTTCGAATCGGGGTTTGCGCATTTGGGTTGCTCCAGAACTGCGGGGAAGCCCATCCCCAAAGCAAAACGAAGCAACAACAAAACACTGCGTTGTCTCCTTGTGAATTCGTGGTATGTGGCTATCCTTGTATACTTAAGATGTGAAAATATCGACAATCATGATTTGGCTATGGGTCCAAAGTCGGGCAAGGGGTTGCCCCGGTAAAAGGGAACCCTGTGGATTAAAAGCTGCGGTCGGATTCCTGGTTTCATTGTGAAACATACCCCATTTCTCATGGCCCTTAGTCGCCGGTTGAAAGCGGGCAATGGGGTCCCAAGTTGCGGCACGCGAGAACGTAGTCAGAAATGTGGAGCGAAGCCCAACCATGTATGCTTGGAAGGGGGTCATGATTCCCGTGTCTTTAGATCTTTCTGGTAACCCGAAAAAAAAAAAAAAAAAAAAAAAACATATATGGCAGTGTTGTTTTTGTTATTTTTTGAAGGGTCTGTAACAGAGCCGCGGCGGACATTCGTTACAGACCTCGTTACAGACATTTGTAACAAGACCAGCTGGCTCGTTACACACCCCTCGTTACACACCCCTCGTTACACACCCTCGTTACACACCCTCGTTACACACCTCAGATGAACAAGCCGGGCCAGTGACGTGACTGCCCTCTTTTTGCCGCAGCCTGGCTTGCGTTGAATAGCTGCAATCAAGCTGGAGTTGCTTTGCCTCGTTACAGACCTCGTTACATAGCCGTTACATACCTCGTTACAGACCCAACCCCAGCCCGGGCCAGCGACCCTGTTTTTTGCCGCAGCTTGGCTTGCGTTGAATAGAGCTGCGGAGGCGTGCTTTGCGTACTGCGCTTTGCTTTGCCTTGTTGCAGACCTCGTTACATAGCCGTTACATACCTCGTTGCAGACCCAACCCCAGCCCGGGCCAGCGCCCCCCCTTTTTGCCGCAGCTTGGCTTGCGTTGAATAGCTGGTTCTGCGGAGGCGCGCTTTGCGTACTGCGCTTTGCTTTGCCTTGTTACAGACCTCGTTACATAGCCGTCACATACCTCGTTACAGACCCAACCCCAGCCCGGGCCAGCGACCCTGCTTTTTGCCGCAGCTTGGCTTGCGTTGATGCGCTCCTGATTCTGCTTGTCAGGAAATGTTTTTCCCATTGCAGACCTGCGCAACAAGGACCTCCGTTACAGACCTCCGTAACAAGATTCGTGCCGCGTCGCGCATTACAGACAGCCAAGAAAAACATGGCCATATGTCAGAGAG